CACCACTACTGGCTACCATTGCCACTATCTACCATGCTCATGTCCTCTACAACCACAACCGTCCATCTCCACCACCACTAGTATCATCGGCCACCACCACCTCCACCATAACCATCACCACTGCCCATCATCACACCTACCTCCACCACATAGGCCACGACTACCTCTTCTACCGCTATCGACCGCCACCACCACCACTTTTCACTATTTTTACGTCCTCCACAACCACTATCGTCCACCAATTACCAATGCTTCTACTTGCACAATCATTGTTGTTGCAACAATTTTTATCGTGTCTTCACCAATTGATAAGGATCTTCCAAACTAAATAAAACGTAATTTCTTATTTATATGAATCGGGTTTTATCAAAATATCATCAATTATATAAAAAAAATCCATTCATATGTGGTACTATTTTATATTTATGTATATAAAAATTGTGTAAATATGTTTATAAATCAAATTTATTTACTTTATTTGTGTTAATTATAACTATTATATGATATGTAAAATCATAAAATAACGTTTTGGGACAACTTATCTAGTTATGTCATGTACAGTTTTAATTGTACCAAACACCATACATACGTTTGTTATGTCAAGTCCAGTTCTTTTCAATCATGTATGCGTACCAAACGGTACCTCAAAGTCTTTATGTTGTGAAGGTTCAATCCTTTTTTTGGTATATGCACAATATCTTGTTGTAAAAGTTCAATGTTTTTGTATATTCACAATGTTTTGGCTGTAAAATCAATGTTATTTTATGGTCTCATATATCTCATAAAAACAGATGATCACAAGTTTTAAGAGCATCTCCAATAAATTCACAAATTTTCTATAAAATAAATAACCAAAAATTAAAATATCTAAAAAGGTACATTCATCTCCAACATATTCTTCATTTTTTGGAAAATCCAACATTAATTATAATTTTAAAATATTTTACCATCGCAAATATTGTTTTTCTCTTTAAATAATTATTTTCAAAATTTTCAATTGATAAAATATATTACAAAAATATTTATCTCACATGGTAATTATTTTTGTGGTAATCTCCATATTAAAAAAAACCCTTTTTTTTTTCCTACTTTCTCTGTTATGGAAATACCTTCGTAGAATCTGCCGGAGCTCAATATTCAAAATCTCTAGTTTCTTATTTTTTTTTCATTTTAAATAATCTATAAAAAATGATCTAGATAAGACTAGAAGGGTACTCGTGCAATGCAACGAGATATATTTCGGTTTTAATGTTTTATTTTATTCCATCTTTGTAGATGTTTTACTATAGTTTTTATGTGGTTTTGAGAAAATGATAACGTTTTATTTTTGAATAAAATATAAATTTAAAAATATCTTAAAATTTCAAAAATAAATCAATCAATATTAATATCAAATTAACTATTTAAAAGTTTTTAAAATTTTTTTGTTAAATACTTTAAAATATAGTATAGGTATATTTTAATTTATAATTATTTTTTAATTATATAAAAGGGTAAAATGGGAACAAATAAACTGTGAGGAAAGCATGATTGGTGTCGAGTGGTTCGCTCGTTCGCCAAACGACTCTTCACCGACCACGTCATCCTTTTAGCCGACTTTTCCTTTTATTTTATTTTTTTCTATTTATGGATTTTGTTTTTATTTTTTATGTCAAATATTTAATAAATATTACAATTAAATAATATATTATAATTGGTATCATGACCAAATGGTGTGAAGTTGAGCCAATATTTAAATAAAATAAAATATAATATTTTTTATTTTTATTTTTTTATTTAAAAAAAATCTAAATTTGCTTTTGAAGGTTTTGAGGGGATTAAAGTCAATGACATGACGGCTTTGATTTTGTGTTTACAACTTCTCCTTTTTTGCTTTTTTGTCAACCATTAAAGCTTTTCAAGAATTGGGTAAATGTCATTTTCACCCCTTATACTTTTTCCTAATTACATAACGTACCCTTTCATTTACGACACCCTCGTACGTCACTAACAACCCCTTTTGTTTTCTTTTAATGCTTTGTTCGGGACCCGGGAACTCCTTCGTGTTGCCTAATTTTGTATACGTCGGAGTCATGGTTTAATTATTCAAGACTCTGCTACATTAAAATCAGTTGTATGTAACTATCAGAAGACAAAATATATCAGAATATACTGAATTTTGTCTTGATTTATATTTAGTATAACAATAATTCTTTGCTTTACGTGGAAATTCGTCTTGTTTGATACCCATTTTACCTGATGTATGGATCTTCGGCTTACATGGAAATTGATGCATTTTAATGTCGTCTTTTTCCTATGTAATCAATAATTACAGTATAACGTGCCTCTAGCGTGTAGCTCCGATGACAAAAAGGTTGGACGACTTTGCCTAAATACATGACGGTCCTGGGTTCAATCTCAGATCCTCCGCTAGTCACAACTGTTGAGTGAGCCAAAAAAATGTCCCATCACATAAGTGTCCTTGAAGACAGGTTAAGTCGGGTCGGTTATGATTGTCAATAATCAATTTTTTGCCTAAATGATTACAATATAACTTGGCAAGTTCGTTGTCTACATCATCAATAGTTACAAGATCTACTGGTTATCATCATCATCTAAAATAAGTACAAAATATAATGAACTGAATGTTCGTTAATTGAAACAAATACTTATCGTTACATAAATAAAAGTTAAAATAAATTCGTTGCATTTTGGGATTTTTTAAATTATTTATCTACTTCGACAAGTCAAATCAGACCAAATTGAAATTGACCAAGTTGGTTCGATTTAGTTCAATTAAAGGACATTTGGTAAAATTTAGTTTACCAAACCGAACGAGTCGAGAAATAAACCGAATTCAGTTACAACTATAACAACATCTTAAACCTAACCCTCATCACACCACCTCTCGTCACTTTTAAGTTTCTCGACACATCTTACGTTATCCCAACATCTCTCAAGTGAAAGACTCTTTAATCGAACATTTAGCATTGCTGCTTTAACCAAAATACCAGTTCGGACGACGGGTTTTAACAGATGAACAAATTCCCATAAAAACAGATAAAATAATTAAATAATTAAATTTTTATGAGGAAATAAATTTGGGTTTGTACTAAAAAATGGGTATATTTTGAGAAGTGTGTTGGGACCCAATGTACTTGTAGGGAAAAAGAGTTACCACTAGTATGGTCTATGCCTATGGGGTCCTCCTCCCACCCTATCATTACTAGCATGGTCCACTCTCCCATTGTTTGCAAATTTACCAATCTACCCTATTCTTATTTTCTTATTTAATAATCACAGTGTTTTATCTGGTTAAAAAGTTGATTATCAGCAATTTTAACTGGTTTTATATGAAATTTGTCTAAGGACATCAACGTGAGGGATTTTTCTAGTTCATTAAGCAGTTGAAGCTAGGAGGGGGGAGGGGGGAGAGCAAATCTAGAACCTGTCTTGTATTTGGACAAAATCATCTCGCCCCTTTGCCAACTGAGACCATAGGCAATAACGCCTTTTTATTATTTATCTTCGTAGTTACATGCTCTTAACTTTAATAAATTAAAATATATACTGGTTTTCATGTATTTACAGTTTTATTTGTGTCAGATTCAAAACGAATAAAAATCACATGTTCCCCTTATGTGTCTTGTTTCAGTTAATAAGACTATAGGTGGAGATGGTACGGTAACGAGTTTCTTTTTTCTTGGTACCAAGTATGACTAGTATACAAAATCTTATACTGTGTATTAACCAATTGTATTTGGTACCGACTTTTTTCGACTGGTACATGTTGGTTTTGATTTTGTACCAACTACAAGTTACGTGTATGGAAACTTGTCATCTTGTTCAAATTTTGAATGATATTTTGAGTTTTCAGGTAATATATGTGATGATTAAGTGTTTTAATTGCAAGAAATAAATTTGCAAACGTTCAAATGTTGAAACAGATCGGTTAAAGTTACAAAGTTTAATATTCAATCTATAAAAAATTAAAAAACTAATTAATAATTAAAAAAGTCGGTATCATAGTATTACTGTGGTACGTGAATTTCAATAACGTGTACCAACCAAATTTGTATAATTGGTTAAACCAAACGCATGATTGAAATGTAATGTAAATCCAAATACCAACAAATCTAGGGCGAACCTATTCATGCCCGAGTCGGGTCCCATGCACTGCTCAACGGGTTTTCTTAAGCAGATTTCTTTGTTTTGGGGGTATAAAACACGTATTAAGTACAATTTATCAAGCTCCATATTTGAATTCATGTAACTAACTGTAGATAAATAAAATCGAATACAGAATAAAATTCTCATTTTAAATATATCTAAAATATATTTAGGATAAGTATTGAGTTTTAATATAATACTTAGTTATTATCTCTATAAAAATTATATTACCAAACAAAAAAAAAATTTACTTCGTCGTTAAATCTAAATTAAATTACAATAAAAAATTGAATTAAAGAAATTATACAAAACGATTATAATTTTTATATAATTTTTAATTTTTTTATGATATATTCAAATTTATATTAAAAAAAACGTTATTGTTTGCTCAAAACCATATAAATTCATATTATAATATCGATATAGACCAAAAAAATAAAACGGAACATTAAAATCGAGATATATCTTGTTACATTGTGCGAATACCCTTCTAGTGTTTCAAAAGTTATTAATATCAATTTTAAAATATGTTATATATAAAAAAAATAGTTAATGAAATTAAAATAGGCACCGTTTTATAATAATATTGTTAGAGGACAAAGACAATACAATTAAATTTGAAGGTTCTCTCACAAATGCATATGCAAATAATTGTACAATTATTAATTAATGTGTTTTTATTTATTTATTTATTTATTTTTAAAATAATTAAATTAATAAATAATATTGAAGTTGCGGTGTGGTCACATAATCACAACCAACCCAAACCCCAAACCCCGTCCCCCATTTCATTTCATAGCAGTAACGACACCCACACTACTCCATACGACGTCGTTTTCTTCTCCGGTCCACCGTCGTCGGATCTGAGTTCCTTGAAACTCACTTTCTCCGATCTACTTCTCACTCTGTCTTGTTGTGGTTTGGATTTATCGGATCCAGGGCGGGCATTTTCATTTTCAGATGGGAATGCCCGAACGATGAGCAAATCTGGCAACGAAGACGAAGAAGACAACGGTAACGACTGTTTCTACGAGTCTCTTGATCGTATTCTATCTTCAACGACTTGTTCTTCTTCTTCTTGCTCAGACGACGACCAAGAGGATACCGACTTGTACCGAAGGGATCTCAATTGCAGTACTAGTCCTGGTAATAATGCTCCCGGACATCCGTTACCGATCCCTAAATTCCCAATGGGGGTTACTGGAAACTATGATGTCTGGATATCACAACCTTCATCTGTTGAAGAACGCCGTTTGCGGTTGCTCCGGCAGATGGGACTTAGCCGTGACCCTTCCATTTCGAGACATAAACCTTCGCCGTCGGTTTCATCTGCCGCCGACTCAAAGTTGGGTAAGTCTGTCTCAGCAGATCACTTAGATAGTGAAGCTACTAATGCTCATCATGTTTCTGGTTCTAATTCTAACCCTGCAATCATCCGATCCAAGTCTGCTGATCACGAACATCGTGATTTTAATTCTAATTCGCATTCGAATTCGTCTCATGAAATTCTTTTTTTTAATTCAATGTCTTCGCCGGCGGTTGATGCTGCGTCATCGGCAAATGTAAATAATAACGTTGATAAACATGTTCTAGTTAAATCGCCAAGCGTCGGCAATGTATCTCCTGTGGTCAATGCTAATGCTGCTTCACCCAGTAAGCCGCCCACCGGTAAAATTCTCAGGCGTAGCGAGGAGATTGTTAGGTGTGATCTTTCCACAAGTTTGAACTTGAATGTTAATAGTAATGATGGTGATGTAGCAGGGATGGATTTGGATTGTGTTAGGGATGGTGATGATGCAGTGTGTACAATTAAGAATCTTGATAATGGGAAGGAGTTTGTGGTCAATGAGGTTAGAGAGGATGGGATGTGTGAAAATCTTAAGGAAGTTGGTACGGGCCGACATTTAACCATGGAAGAGTTTGAAATGTGTGTTGGGCACTCGCCGATTGTTCAAGAATTGATGAGAAGGCAGAATGTCGAGGCTGGTAACAACGATTTGCCTGATTCCAAAGGTAATAGCAGTAGTGGGGGTGGATCCAAAATAAAAAAGAAAGGGAGTTGGTTGAAGAGTATTAAGAATGTAGCCAGTTCGGTTACCGGTCATAAAGAGAGACGGAGCAGTGATGAGAGAGATACATCATCAGAGAAGGGTGGAAGAAGGTCGAGCTCTGCAACCGATGATAGTCAGGATGTTTCCTTCCATGGCCCAGAGAGAGTACGGGTTCGACAGTATGGGAAATCATGCAAAGATCTTACGGCACTTTATAAGACCCAGGAGATTCAGGCTCACAATGGTTCTATCTGGACCATCAAGTTCAGTTTGGATGGCAAATATTTAGCTAGTGCGGGCGAGGACTGTCTCATCCATGTGTGGCAAGTTGGTAGCTCGGATAGAAAAGGCGATCTTTTATTTGATAAACAGGAAGATGGAAATTTGAATGTCTTATTGATGTCTAACGGCTCGCCAGAACCAACCTCATTGTCTTCAACTTTGGACAGTGTACCTGAAAAGAAGAGAAGAGGAAGGCTATCTATAAGCCGAAAGTCTATAAGCTTGGACCAGATTCTGGTGCCAGATACTATGTTTGCACTGTCGGAAAAACCAGTATGCTCCTTCAACGGACATCTGGATGATGTGCTTGACCTGTCCTGGTCCAAATCTCAGGTTAGCCAACATTCTCAGTTTACCTATACTTCTTTTAAGGTTAGAAGCATTGGTATTATCTTCTATTTGAATATCTAGCATGAACCTTATCTGTTTTGTCGAAGAATAGAGTAAACCCAGAACGATTATTTTTTCCACGCAACCGAATCTGTATTATTACTGCTAACCGTCATCTTGACCATTGACCTTAATCACAACTAGGTAGGGCCAAAAGATAATGCTGAGTAAGAGACAATGTATGTTCATAATTTTAATTAATAGTTATGAAATACATGTAAATAGGGATGGTTTTGGACAACTGACTAGGAAGAATAATTATCATCGTCAAATGAGAACATTTTTGGTCCACGATGCAATGATGTGTGACGAGGGTTTTCTTTTGCTTTGGAATGTATGAAATTAGACTGATATTTGTATGCTTATTGAATGAAAAATTGACGGCGATTGTGAGGTAGAGAGAGTTTTCGTTTGGTATGTAACTTAAAGTATTACATAAAACATCGGCTTCCGTCTCAGGATAATGGAAGATACCTTGGTAGACTTCTATTTGGTTATTGACTTATTGCAATGCACAATCAGACTTTTTTCAAACTTACCTATGTGGCCATGTCTGTGTACCATATAGACAATTTACATTTTAAGAAATCATCTTTGATATGAGCTTACACTGATAATAGCTGATGGTTGGTTTAATGTCATTGCCACTGTTTATAATCTTCTTAAACGGTTCATCCATTTTGTTCATTTGAAAAGGCATCGTTGTTGCTGTTATCTAGAAGTCTTGAATACCCATTTTCCGTTGTATATACTATTCAAATAGTAGACGTTCTTCTTTGCATCTGTAGGAAATCCACTGAACATCCATTTCAGGAACAGATCTTTCCTAGAAGACATGATTCTTGGGTTGCATTTTCTTGTTTACCCATGTATAACTAATATCATTATCTCTTGGGATTTGGAAGAGGTGTCTTTTCTTTTGCATCCAGTGACCTAGCTACAGTTGTGGATGGGAATTGAAATAGTATTCTAGATATCTGGACATCAAATATTCAAATCCCTATTGCCTACACATGGACTTTGAAGTTTGAAGCAATATTTTCCAGTAGGATTTAGATGGACCAGAAAACTGCATTTAGTTAGTCTTTCCTCATGGTCGTCGAACTCTGATGGTCTACAAGATTGATGACTATAGGAGGGTACTGAGGGAGGACAGACGGGCAAGGTAAGTTAACTACAAACTGTGCATCAGATTATCATTCTGGCCCATGAAACTTGTGTAGATAACCTTGCATAAGAAATTGGACAGATCATTCAACAGATCATTTCAACAAAAACAATTCCAAAATATAATGTTGTCATAGAAAATGATATTAAGTGCATTGGTTAAAAAATGTAAATAAGCCATTATCAAAATTTTGCATTGTATCCAAATTAGGATATCTGAGTGGAAATTGTTGCATGTGCTAGTCTATCATCATTGATGGTTTTCTAAAGTATTCTTTTTAGTATGTATCGTTTATGGTAGGATATTTTGTGAGTACTGATCGGATGTTTGTGAATCTCGACATGTCTTTCTTGTAACTTCCGGAGTGAGATATCATGAACTAATTATGTAGCTTCTTGTTGCCTGTTGCTGATAAATATTTGACATTTATATATAAGAATTAAGAAACATCGACATCATTTCTTAATGGGAATGCTATTGAATTGTTGGATAATCTCACCTTTTCTACTTGCACTATATCACCCGCTCACCGCACTTTTTGACACTTCCATACTAGTCTTAGGTTTTTTATGGACCATGGTACTTGGAATCTCCTTTTGTCATATAGAATTGTATACATTAAGGTGTTTAATGGACTAAATATGCACACCTTATTGATGTTAAAAGAGTTACTTTATTAATGCGCTATTTGTGGCAAAGCATACATGAAAGCTCTTATTGACAGTAGTTTTCAATGTCAGCATTTACTTTCATCCTCCATGGACAAAACAGTGCGGTTGTGGCAGTTGTCTAGCAAGTCATGCTTGAAGATCTTTTCTCATAGCGATTATGGTAAGGAAACAAATGAAACTCATGTGTTGGTTTAGGAATTACCATGTTATATAGGTGATACTTTATGATGAATTGAAACTTGTGTGTTCTCTTGGTCATTTATTATCTCCTTCATGTAAACTCACCATTTTTCTCTGTTCTTGTTTCTTGATACAGTGACTTGCATCCAGTTTAATCCTGTTGATGATAGATACTTCATCAGTGGATCTCTAGATGCCAAGGTGCGCATATGGAGCATTCCTGATCGACAAGTTGTTGATTGGAATGATCTGCATGAGATGGTCACTGCTGCTTGCTATACACCAGATGGTCAGGTTGAGCCAAAATGATTTATTCAGTTACCATATCAATTTTATGTTACTGAACTACAAATTGGGAGCGGGTTCTCTCTGTGTGCCAAAATTTAACTAATGGCTGAAGGAATTTTTTTTCTTGATTCTTGAAGGCTGCACTAGTTGGTTCATACAAGGGGAGCTGTCGTTTGTACAACACAACTGGTATGGAGTGATGACTCTCTGTGGCTATTTCTTTTCCAAATTTTGCTGTGTCTGCTTGTTTTCTTGGGTCTTTTTTTTGCTTATATCCTAATAACTTTCTATATTTTTCAGAAAATAAGTTGCAGCAGAAGAGTCAGATTAACCTGCAGAATAAGAAGAAGAAGCCACACCATAAAAAAATCACTGGTTTTCAGGTGATACAGCTACTAATGCCTTTAGGGCGAGATTTTTTCGGGTTTAATGTCGTTGCCTTGGGGGGAGGGGTTATTTTGTTTATTTATAGCTATATTTTTGGGATATATTGTCACCATTCACTATTGCATGGAGGTTGTAAACCAAACCACACCGAACAAAACCAAACGGACCCAGTAAAATCCCATGCAAATATCACATGGAGGTTGTAAGTTAGGAAAACATATTGTTATGAACTGGAATCCAAATCAATAACGAACTGAAAAATGAAGACGGGAACAGATTAATTGGATGGTTACTTGAATGGAAGCAAAGGTAAACTCTAGCATTCAAGAGGCTAAAACTCTCCCAAAAGAACTCACTAATTATTTATTCTAAGAAGTACCCAAACTACCCCTTTTTAACTATTCTAGAATATCACTCCGGAATGGGCTTGGGCCTCTAGATGGGTGCATGAAACATATTTAACAAGGCAGTGTACATTGTTCTTGTGTTGGCCAACAGGTCCCACTCCCATCCATGTTGCTTTAAATATGCTGTAAGTTAAAGCGTTAGAGGTTTATGGTGCTTTATCACATGTCTGTCTGTACACCAAGGTTATCATTCCATTTTGGAGCAGCAATATCATTTCTTCCATGATTTGATGCTTTCTAGTTTTTTCCACTTCTACTTTCTCTTTCTATGGATCTAAAAGGAACTTAAATGGACCTAAAAGGAACTAGATGACTTTGGGGCTGATTGGTTGGTTTTTCATTAAGTACTGTATGGATTAAGGTGTCGTCTGTGTGGATTAATCTCTGTATAGATTGGGAAGGTTTTTGTTTGGAAGAGGCTTTTTAAAGATGAAAGGAGCGTGTTTTTTAAATGGGATGGGGGTTTGGCAAAAACTTGGCTTTCTGCATAAAGCTCCCCCTAGAAGCTTAATGAATATGCCACTTTCTATATCATTAAGCCACTTCCAAACCATCATGTACAGCTGACCGAATAAGCTGTAAGTCCGTTAAGTTGCTAACAAACAATCCCCCAACTCTACCTCAATGGACCTAAATAGACCTGATAGACCCAATTGAACCAAACTGGCCTAAAGGGATATAAACAAACCTACATTGACCAAAATTGTCCCAAATGGACATAAAAAGAGCTGAACATGTCTAAAATTGACATTAACAGATCTAATAGGTCAAGTTTTTTTAGTGGGCGTTTACCTTGCAACATTTGTCAACCACATAGCTACAAATGCCTTTTCCTTCCTTATGCATTGCTGATTAGCATCCGTTTACAGTTTGCTCCAGGCAGTTCATCGGAAGTGCTCATCACATCTGCAGATTCACGAATTCGTGTCGTTGATGGTGTTGACTTGGTTCACAAGTTCAAAGGTAAACACTAAGCGATGTAGAGCTTACATGACATATTTGTTTTTCTTTATTTTTTGTTTTATTATACATTTGTGTTCTGTTGCCCTAAAGTTTTACGTAACAGTAGTAATCTCGCATCCACCTTTATAGAAGATGAAACCACACCAATATGATTTTTATTCTCATACAAAAAAGAGTTCACCTCTAAGGTGTCTGTGTTGATTAATCTGTCTGTATAGATGGAGATGATTTTTGTTTGGGAAGGTTTTATCATWGATGRAAYRAGYGTGTTTTTWAATTKRRAGGGACAAGTTYRRAAAAAACTTGGCTTTCTRCATAAAGCTTYCCCCC